GACAACACACCAGGTCATCCCCTGCAATTTTAACTAATTTTGACCTACGTGTGAAAGTTGTATTTTTGCCACCAAATACAACCAGCTTGCTTCAACCAATGGATCAGGGAGTCATCAAAACATTCAAAGCTTATTACACGAGACAATTGTTTGCACATATGCATGAAGCTATGAGACAAAACAACGAACTCTCTGTTAAAGACTTTTGGAAACAATTTAATGTTATAGATGCAGTGAGAATCATTGGACAATCTTGGAATAAAGTTTCACAAAAAACTTTAAATGGCATCTGGAAAACATTGTCCTTTTCTTTCCACCACTGAAACTCAGGCGGAATCAGTGCCAGAACCTGATGAAATTGGTAATGTAATTGAAGAAGTTGTCGATCTTGCCAGGCAAATAAATTTAGAAGTGGATAGTGATGATTAGGGTTTCTCATTTCCCGGTCTTTTGCTTGTCCCGGGATCCCGGGATAAAAGTGAACTGTTTCCCGGGATCCCGGGAAATCCCGGGATAGAATTAATTATTTTTAAGGTATACAAAATATCTTGAAATCAAATGATATAATTATTTTCCATTTTTTAAAGTAATTTTAAAGTTCTGTAACCTCCAAAATCATATTAATAATGCTGTGTAAGGTCTATAGGCCTATAATAAAAATTACCTTTAAATAACGTAGAAATTTTCACAAATAGAAAAAAATTAATTAAAGTTTGCTGGAAACTGCATACAACAACAACAACAAAAATGTTTTGAATTGAGTTAAAAATTAAAAAAAATGAACTTCTAATTTAGAAGGTTATTTTCATTTTTTAAATAAAATATAATACAAAATATTGCAAACTTTTATAAGATTTTAAAAAGCAAAGATGGTCAATACTCCGATAACTCACTCTAATTCTTATTTTAGTAATGAAAAGTCTTGCCACCGAGAATGCCCTTTCCGATTCAATTGGTGTGATTGGAATAGTGTTTAATGCATTTAAGAGAAGACAGATATTATGTGTTTTTTCAGCTGTAGCCTGGAAGATTTCGAGTTCGTTTTCGAGATTGTAGTACTTCTTTCGCTTTCTAGTATTCTTGATTTGTCTACCTTGGCTGCTTTAATAGCGGCATCAAGCTTAGAGCTCGATAATTCGGCAGTTCATTTGGCTTTAATAATCAGGTTTATGAAGAAAAACTTCATACTTGCAGACTTTGTACTCGTTTGTATCCTTGCCCAATTTGCACAATCTGGCGTCAGGCATTTATTGAAGCTACTGGGCATGGTTAAAACTCAAGACAGCGTAAGCACAATTATTCCAGATATTACAGGTTCCGACAAGTAAAGAATTTTTATAGTCCTGCCACAAATAAGCTATATATTGATTATTGACCATTTGTGACATGCTATAACGAGCAAAAATTTAAAAAAAACTAATAGGTAGGTTTAAAATGAATAAATACAAATGTATTCTGACAGTGAATGAGTTAATTATGCTTTCTATTTGCAAAATTCCTCAACCTTAACACAAAATAAGAAAAAAAGTGAATTTTTAAGAAATTTGCGGGATTTCCCGGGTTAAAAAAACAACCGGGATCCCGTTTGAGAAACCCTAGTGATGATGTTCAAGAACTGCTGGATTCCCACAATCAGGAGCTGACAATTGATGAGCTTCTAGAAATGTGTGAGCAAGAGCAAGATATTGAAGAACTTGATTCTTTAGACTCAGTTCAATCAGAAGATCGAATGATGGTTGGAAACTTGACAGACGGCCTCAGTTCAATTGAAAAGGGGTTACAAATTTTAGAAAATATAGACTCCAATAAAGAGTGCATTTCTTCTAGAAAACAAGAAATAAAAAACTTATTAGCATGCTACGAGGAAATTTTGTGGGAGAAAAAAAAATCTTTCAGCTGTCAGACGAATTTGTTAGATTTTATGAAGCCTTCTACATCAAAATAACTTTGGTTTACGATTTTAATAATATAATTTGTTATACATAAGTATTATCTAAGATTTTATTAAACATTTTTTTCTAAATTATTGTTTTCTTTAGTCTCCAGCCCCAATTAAAAATACAGGTAACCCCGTATAACACGGTAGTTACGTTCCAAAAAATTGCCGTGTTATGCGAATCCGTGTTATATGAAACAAAGAACTAATACGAAAAGGAGGGTTAGGTTCCAAAAATTAAAAAACATGCTAGTATATTTTCATAATTAAGATAAATATCTTCATTAAAATTTTTTAAGTGATACATATTAATATAAATTAAACAATGTTTTCTTCGTCATCACTAAAAACACTATTAACTAACCGAGAGCATTTTCTTTTTGGCAAGTTATCCTTATCCTCTGAGCATTTTTCTGCATTATCTTCAGATCCATGCTTTACCTTTTGCAAAATGTATGTAATTTTAGATTGCTTGCTTCTAGTTAAAAGGTCTTTATAAATTTCCTTATATGGTGCTAAGCACTTATGAAGAATAAAGCAAGTGTGGAATAAGGGAATAACATTCGGCAACATCAGAAGCAAAACCGTCGCGATCTGGCAACATTGAAACAAGTTTCGAGAAAGACCACGTGTATCGACAGAAGGCGAGAAGAGAAAATTTACATACTTAAGTACTAATAGTTCATGAAAATAATAATTTTTGTGAACTATTATTACTTAAGCATGTAAAAATTTATTACATTTCCTGTTGTACGAGGGTTTTACCCAATTCTCAAACCGTGTCAGAGTAAATCCGTACTATAAAAGTACCGTGTTATACAGGGGATGGTACCAATTCTCGAACCGTGTCAGAGTGAATCTGTGCTATAGAAGTGCCGTGTTATACGGGGGTTACCTGTAATTTGTATGTATTTATATGCAAAATTATACCGACTTATGTGGTTATCGCTTGATCTCACCCATCGCATAAGTTCAGGGTATTACTGTACCGTATTTAGAAATGCTTAATATCCCCAACTTTCTTCATATTTCCTGTCAGTCAGTTCGCATTGCAATAAAGTAAGAATTTGATGCAGTGAGAGCTTCAAATACAAATATAACTAAACCCTCATATTTTTCATTAATAGCACAGGTTAGGATGTAATCTCTCACCAATGCTAACTGATACAATTACTGGTTAGGTTCATCCATAATCAATAATTAAGACAAACCTTAATTGAGATTGGATACACAGTCTCATGTTCACAAATAAAATCAGGAGGTACTTTTCAATTAGCAGGACACTGGTTAGTCGACTACTATTTTTAGCAAATTCGAACTTTTATTTTGCAAACTTTCATCACACGAGCTGGAAATAGAAAAGGTTATTTGCTGGATGGATGTTATATAGTTTAGCAGGTCCTAGGGCAGCAGCCCTGATGGATGCACCTCCACCAGGTCCCCACATAATGGGGAAAGGGAGCAAGTGAAGAGAGTTCCTATAACCACTTTGAAACTCACTAAACATTTCTGTACTTACCAATTTGGGAAATCAACTCAATACATGCTAATTAGATCACATCAATTGACTAGTGTTCTGCTAACTCAAAAATACCAATCAGGATTTTCAAAGAAATCAATCTTTATATTAGTTCATTTAAAATTGTATTATCTCAATATTCAAATCATATTGCTTGTAGTTATATCATTATAATGCTATTCAGAAAATTTGTCAATTTCTTTTCATATTTAGTAACTTTTGTAAACATGTCCATATGGCTAAACTATGGCTCAGGAACCACATGCAGCTCTTCTAGACTGCTTGTTACAGCTCTATCTACTTACAGAATTTCTTCTTATAAACTTGGTATATACTACAATGCAGTAAAAAAAAAATTACCAATCTCCCATTTTGTAAAGCAACATAAAAATAGGTGTGTGACAACAAATCACATCCTGACACAAGACAGGATGAATTGGATGTGGTGGTGGTGGTGACATCTGCTGACCAAAGTGGTGCCCAGAGGCATGGCACCATTACGTATAAAGATCTACTGTAAAAAAAAATTATAAACATGTTCATTGTGACCATTCGTAAAGGAAGACCAGTGTGCAATAATCATCTTCATACTGTTGTTGTGAAGGTAAAGAAAGATAGCCACTGTTAGTGAACTTAGCTAAAGCTGACAGCAACTTTTAAATAAATTTATGAGATACGGTAAAGCAAAAGATTTCAATGAATTTGAAAAAGACAGATATAAAATTATATTAAAAATATTTCAGATTGATAATCAACAACTTAGAAGTTCAAATAGTACAGTAAATCAAATAACATAGTTTAAATCATTTCATCAAATTACGCATAGAATAACATTACGATTTGGAAAAGATAGTATTTCTAAACGACACAACCTAACCAAATCCTTTTGGCTCAAATGCACCTCCGAATAAAGTAGTCGAGACCTCATCAGAGCCGCATAACCATAAACGATAGTCCGGGGCCACATTTTTCAACCGACGGTCCCTCACGGCTTGGGAGTTATAGGGGTCCGCGACACGAGAACCACCGGTCTAGGAAAGTCTAAAAACTTGGAAGTCGAACCCTTCATTCGGAACTGCAATTTTATCATTGTTTTGACGATGGAATATAATTATATTCGAATATATAAACGTAATATTCGATATACAATCACAATTTTTGCCTTTTGAAAAGTGACGGATATCTAACTTCACAGATAAGAACGTACATCACTTTTAAAAAGCCATTTAATTCAGAATCTTTAAAACAATCAAATCTCCGAAAACAAAAGCTAGAAACAGAATGGAAGCATTGCAAACAAACAAACAATTATAAATCAACGTTAAAAATTATTTCATTTCTAAACAGTTCGAATGATACATTGGACTTGCAAAATTATTTCTTATCGAACGAATTACGTATTAATTATAAACGAAAAGTATCGAACCCAAAGAATTCTTTGAAGATGTTTTCCAACATTAATTCAAAGACTTACGCGAACTTTATATTAATTGACCCGTACATTTTAAATAATATTACTGTTTTAATTAAATTTTAAACACTTACGTATATTTCTAGTATAAATCTGTATGTATAATTTTATTTTGGTGTTTTACAAATAAAATTGCCAAACTACAACTTTAGGCTTAAATTTAAGTAATTAATCTCAGAATCAAACACAACGAACTTTTACCTCCTCGAAACAGGATGTTCTTGATGACGTAACAACTTTTAAAATAAGTAGAAATTTTAAAAATTTTTGAGCAGTATGACAAATGTTTGAATAAAAATGGAAATTATGTAGAATATAAGAAAAAATATATTTCAATGATATTTACAGTATTTTTCTTCTTATTAAAAAACGAACCTTATTTAAAAAATAGCCCTCGTATAATCGGGATACCTCTTGTCATAGATACACGAATACTTTCGGATGTTTTTGATAAATCTTTCCGGATCTATTCTAGAGTAGCCACGAGNCATTGTTAATTTGTTTTAGATTTATTTTTAAAATATTGCTTCATTTATCAAAATTAAAACTTTGATAATTATTTACCAAAATATACATATATATATTAATATTAAATGCTAATAATATTTTCTGAAAATGATTCACTATGTAAGAAGAGATAGAATAGGGAACATGGGGTACAGTACTGTACGTCTGAAAATTCTAACCGGTAACACCGCGGTAGTGTTGACTGACGTCGCGGTCATTGCCGGTTATTCCGGGCGATTTTTAAACACTCTGGTTATTTTGTGATGTTCAACATGGCGGAAGTCGAAAATGAACTTGTAGAATTGTTTTAATAAGTATCGAAGAAAAGTTTATCTTCGTTTAGTTTATACTGTGAAATCAATAGTTTCTTTTTTCCCATGCTGTTTTGCCTCATCTGAAATTTGGGACGACATGGATTTCTGATCTTGATCGCTTTGTGTTGCGGAAAAAAATGTTTTATTTTCTGTAAATTTTTAAAATCATGGCCACATTCGTCACACGATACAATATGTCCGCCATATTGCAATTCAATAGAACCGCTGTAACCGCTTTGTCACCGTGGTTACTTTGGTAAGTACCAGGGCTGTGGAGTCGGAGTCAGAGTCGTGGAGTTTTGATGTTTCAGCCGGAGTCGGAGTCGGAGTCGGAGTCAGATGGTAAGGAAAAGTCGGAGTCGGAGTCGGAGTTGGAGTCGGTAGATTTTTACGCGACTCCACAGCTCTGGTAAGTACCGCAGGACAACCGGTGACGTCATAACAGTGATTTTTAAACGCGTTAGTTAGGTGACATTTTCTAAACGCCTTGGTAACAACCGGCAGTTACCGGTAACACCGGATACAATTTCCAAACGCACCCTTGCTTCTTACATGATGCACTTATCCTTTACCTTGCTCCGCCATGGATTTCGCAAAGAATGCAATTTAGGGGTATAATGAGGGCGTTTCGAATGCACGCACTCGATTGAAACGTACTGTACATTAGCTGAATTAATTTCGTTGAAAGTTTTTACAGTTAACGAAATAATTGTACGTATATGAAAATACTCCAGTTTACAGCAAAGAAATGCTTAATTAAGTTGTAAGTAAGTCATTCACACAAAATTTTTATTTATTTATTTTAAAAAAATTTTGGTTCAGGTGGTCGAGCGAACTATTACAATGATTAATATTTAGATATTTTACATTACATTTATACAAAGGATACGTTCGTTAATAGCGGTCGCTCCGCATCTCTGCCATTACGGGCGTGCTCTACTTTTGTACGCATTTTGGAACGACGATGAAAAAAGAAAAAAATTGGCGGCGCCCGTACCTATCAACAGTATCGTGATGGGACGGCTGGATGGCCGAACGATCAGGGTTGCAGTCTATCTGAAAATTTTCCGGAATCGAATCCGGACGGATTTTTCAGGTGATGTCCATCCGGATATGTCAGACCCCGTCCATTACCACCCGGCCGCCCCATTGGGTGGGCCTAGTCGAATCCTTAATAAGCTTACTAAAAGAGTTCGTCTTAGTGGCCACAGGGAGAAAAAAGTTAAAAAGTACCGTGATGGAGGAGTCTACAATTTTAAAATATGTGCTTTTAGAGACAAAAGTTGAAAGAGTTTGTAAAATTTAACCGACAAATAAATTGTCTTGCTGACAGAACATTTAAAGTAGCTACGAAAAAAATTAGATTGACAGCTGCCATTCGAAAAAAATCGAGATTACACTTACATCACCGTGTGCACTAACATACGCTTTCTCAACTTCTAAATTTTCATTCATAAAACCGGATAATGGACACTGAAACGGAAATATCCGAGCCATGGAGGACGCCATGTTGTTTTCCACGTAAACTACTGCTATGTAAACTACTACTATGAGCTAGTGCTGTGCGATGCATCGATGTTTTTGTTCGTCGATGCATCGACCTTCCGATGTTTTTGAAACATCGATCCTGAATCGATGTTAGCAATATGTGAATTTTGATTCATCGATGCATCCAGTTCATTCTTTGTTCCTAGTGTTACCACCTGTTCGGTTTTCACTCGGACAGTCCGGGAATTTCGTAAAAATTGTGAAATTGCGATGAAACAAAGTTCTTGCAAATATGTTTACAAATTTACACCTTTGGTCATCCAGAAAAATTGATATTAAGATAGAAAATGTTAACACAAATGGAACTTTAAATTCAAATTTTAAAACTTTTTTAGATGCCCCTATTGTGCCTCACAATAGTAATGCTTTGGATGTGTGGAAATCCATGAAATTTTTTAACTATAATTTATGTGAACTTGCCATGAAGTGGCTTTGCATTCCTGCCACTTCAGTTCCAGCAGAAAGATTATTTTCCAAAGCTGGAAATACTATCAACAAAAAGCGGAGTTCTTTAAAGCCAAAGAATGTACACAAACTTCTAGTTTTAAATTCATTATCAATTGAAGAACTGTATGCATTGGAACTGTAATTGAACTATACAAGTTGAAAATAAAATTAAGTTTTGTTTTTTTTTTAAACTGATTGAGTTTATCTTGATTGAACATCGATGTTCCAATGGGCATCGATCAAACATCGATGTGAAATCCGACATCGAAATTTAGCATCGATGCTTAGGCAAACATCGATGTTAAAATTATAGACATCGCACAGCACTACTATGAGCGGCCGTTTTTGCCGTCCGATGGTGCGCACTCCGGTCGGCATATAGGGCGACGAATTTTTAAGCAGGAATTTTTAAACAGATGCCGTACGATCGGAGTAACGCAAAAAAATAAAAATGCACCCTAACTTACAAAATTAAAAAAACAACGAAAGACAAGTCTACTCACATGGCCATTGTCAACCAAACAAGTTAACAAGGCGTGAAATTTCACACCTGCAGTGTACATTGTTTACAAACTGGTTGACCTTGATTCCACTTTCCCGGGTAGTTCTCATGTATGCTTCAGGGGAATATTGGTTTAAAGCAGGAGGGGCGCTAACTTGCCACATCTGTTCAAATACAACTAGCAAATTCAAATCTGTTCATAACACAACAACGCCACGCGTTGTTGTGGCTCAAAATGTATCTATTATAAATTTATAACACTTCCCCGTGGGGGGGGGGAATTTTTCGAGAAATTTCTTCTTAGTGTACATTCTGTTGACGTACCCTATTAAAACGCAAAAAACCGCATCTAAAATAGTAGAAATAGAAGCAGAGTTCTTTACGGTAAGCCTTAATCCTAACCATCTCCCTTCAGTGGGGGGAATTTCGACACGTATATTATATAAAAACACGTGCGTATTCGAATGCAGCGTTGTGTCAAAATTTCAAAGGAATCGGTAGGAACAAACGAACATTACATTTTTATTTATATAGATAGATAGAAGATGATCTGCTTTAGTTCATTTTCACAGAAAAGCATAATGCCTCACAGAAAAGCAAACTTAGGGCGTCGTACTCGTAGCGCCATCTGTTGGACATAAAAGCCTTAACCTAGATTATATATTTTAATTTATATGAATGTTTAACGGAATAATATACAGCCTATGTCCACCCCGAGGTTCCATTCTAAATATTGGTGAAAGAATTTTTTGAAGTCGGATGAGTAGTTTCGGAGATTACCTGCTGCAAACAAACTTACATACATACATACATACTTACAAACATTACCTCTTTATAATATTAGTATAGATATTGTCGATTTTTATGCTATTAAATTACAAAGGGACCGAAAAAAAAATACGGAAAAAAAATTCTACTGAACAAAAAACTAAAATATCCTGCTGATGTCATAAAAAACATCCAATAGCGTTTTAAAAAATGTACCAAAGTCAAATCGGTGAAATAGAAGTTTAGAACGATTTAATTAATTTGATTAAAAAACTCCCATAAAAAACAATAGCGCGATTAATTACCTAATTAATAAATCGTCGTAAAATATTTTCGCGGCAAAAATAATTCATGAAATTTGCACAGATCATAGATAACGATGTATATATGCTGATCCATACATTTTCGGAAAAGTTATAAGTCAATGCTTTTTACCATCACCTTAAAGTTCATGCCCGAGATATCTCGGGATATGAACTGCTCATTTGCACGCGCAGCCCGAGATATCTCAGGTTATGGGCGTGTACAGTGCATTGTAATACAATTATAAGCAAATTATTGAATTATTTATTTATTTTTTCAGTTTCAGGGGGCGCTTGTTTTCATTGTACTTCTTCATTATCAGCTGATTGCAGAGACAGAGTTTGCGTTAAACGACGTTTTACAGGCGAACGGCGTCTAGGCATTGGCTGGCTAAACCGCGGTTTAAAATGCGTTGCAAAGACGACGATCAGACATCAGATCAAATATTCCTAAACGCCGTCTAAACGAACTTCGACAAAACGTTGGCTTTTACTTTCTTCGCTGTTACTTCCCTCTCTCAGGAGTCGTTTAATCAATCAGGTCATTCGTTTATGACGTCAGAAAAATTGCGAAGAACAACGTGTTCAAATAATGCCGGAATTTTTCCGAAGAAAAAAGTGTCCTCGCGGAAATTATAAAAAATTATTCTGCAGTTGAGGAGAAAGGTTACAACAATCGTATTCTGAGGATGAAAAAATCCGCATGGGAGATGATACTGAATGAATTTTCTTCATCGTTTCTTTGTCGGCCTGCTTTCAGCAAGACCTTATTTTTACTATAAACGTCTCTATCACTACATATCTGCATACATGCATACAGTAGA